GAACACCTCAGTGATGAGTGCCGCCGCCGCTTCTACAAGGACTGGTGAGGGCCACACCCAGCTCTGTGCTGGAACAGTGAGGGTGGGTGGCTAAGAGGAGAGGTGTCAACATCGAGTAGAAGGTAGGAAACTGCAGGTGCTTCACTTCAGTAAGGGATGAGTATGTTTTAAAGGTCTGGAGAGGAAATCAGGATTGAGGAAAACAAGGAAGCAAATATTATAATACCCAGGGTTAATTACAGGGCTAACTTGATGGAATATCAGAGTTGCTCTTATATCTTATATTCGGAGTTGAAAAGGGATACAGCCAACCCAGAAGCTCCTGTGCATAAAAAGGTACTCTCAGGCCTCAGATCTTCCATGCACTAAGTCCTGTGCACCAGAACTTAGAGACACAGGCACCGGCCAGCCCTGAGGCTCTGTGGGAGATGATGAGCTTGGGCCCCAGGGTCAGTGCAGGCTGTGGGACCAGAGAGGCTTACCTCTGAGTTCCTCTGCTGTAAGATGGGGCTGGGTGGTCCCTGTGTTGATGGAGTGGCTGTGAGTTCAGGGCTAGTGAAATGTGCCCAGTGCTTAGCACAGAGCAAGTGGCCAGAAAGTGCTATTTGTCCTGTTTTCATTGTTTCCAGTAAAAATTTGCCCTAATCTGAGAGTTTTTAACTCCTGTGAATCCCAGTTCTTCCTCTATAGAATAGGGATGATAATTTCCACCTTCCAGAGTTCTGCTGAGGGTTAGAAGTGATGTCTGCCCAGGGCTGGGGTATGGTGCCTGATTTGGAAGTGGGATCAGCGGCACAGAAGTGGGGCAGCTGGGGTGGCGTCCAGGTGCCTGGACCACAGGGAGACAGGGAGTTACCCTGCTTTACAGGGAGAGGAGGAAAGCCAGGCCGGGGGTGACAGCCTGTGTTAAATTCAGACCAACTGGACCCAGTGCAGGAACTTCAGGGAAGAGATTTCCTACTTGGGGAGCTGCAGGTGGGGTAGGGGCAGGACTGCTGGGGGCCACCCTGGCTGGAGCCTCTGAGCACCTCCTGTATGTGGCTCAGGCACAAAAGCAAGAAGAAAGCCTTCACCAAGGCCTGCAAGAGATGGCGGGATACTGACGGCAAGAAACAGCTCCAGAAGGACTTTGCCGCCATGAAGAAGTACTGCAGAGTCATTCGGGTCATTGTCCACTCCCAGGTCAGCCCCACCCCACCCAGCAAAGCTCACCCCTGGCCCCCCTCCCCTCCAGCTTTGAGGAGCTGTGACAAATGTCAGCCTAAAAATACCCAGAGTCTCAGGCACAAGGCCAAGGGCTGCCCAACTTCCTGGCTGGACACCTGCAGCCAGGGCTAGGGCACTGACAGTCAGTGCCCTCCCAGGGGCTGTGGGGGCATTGGCCATGCCCCAAAGTTCTCTGAAGGGCCTGAGTGTTCCACCAAATGTCCAATTAGGAGGGCAGGCTGCCCCCTCTGGGTTCTGGTACTTCGTGTGTGATTAGTGCTCTTCCCTGGGCTCTGGCTTGGTGGCTGACAGGTAACCAGCACCCTCTGGCTTGTTCTGCCCAGGGCTGGGGTATGGTGCCTTGGGGTATAGTTCTTGGTGTTTTATCTTCAAGGAAGTTTCTTCTATGCCTGAGAAAGGTTGCCCTTCCACTCCAGAGCCTCCCACAGCCCACTGAATACACGCTCTCCCCAGGTACTCTCATACCCACAGTTCATGGGTGAGTTGTTAGTTAATGCCCATCTCCATCAACAGACCTGAGCTCTTTTGGGCAGAGGCCATGGGGCAGGAGCCTCACCTGCCTTATTCATTGTCAGGCCCCAGGGCCCACACAGAGCCTCATATGCAGTAGGTGCTTTACAAATATTTGTTGAACACTATGTTGTGATTTAACTGGTCTGTGTGTCCCCATAGTCTCTGGCTCACAAAGCATCAGCCGATGCTGCTGACTGATTGCGTCACTTGGAAGAAAGGCTGAGTTCCTTCCTGTTTAACTTGTGTGGACCTGCCACCCTCCCTGTTTACCACCTTCTGGCCACATCCTTCTTTTTTTTTTAATTTTTTTTTAGTTGTAGATGGACACAATACCTTTATTTTATTTGTTTACTTATTTATTTTTTTATGTGGTGCTGGGGATCGAACCCAGTGCCTCATGCATGCTAGGCAAGCACTCTACCACTGAGCCACAACTCCAGCCCCCATATCCTTCTTTCTGTCCCACCAACTCTTGTTCCTGCCATAGGGCCTTTGCCCATGATATTTTCTCTGCCCCAGAAACTTTCAGATCTTTGCCTAATGGAAAGATTATTGATATGATCTCCACAGAGAGGCCCTCCCTGACAACTCCTCCTGAAGTATGTCAGTCCATCCGAGCACCTATCCCTCTCCAATAGTTGACTTGGCTTATCTGTCTCCCAACTAGATGGTGGCTCCCTGGGTGTGGGACTTGGCCTCATTCCATGCTGTCCCCACAGTGTACAGCATATAACATATAGCCGGGCACAGAAAGACCTAGGGTCCCTGGCTGGCCATGCCTTGTCTGCAGGTGGGTAGGGAGTGTGCCTTTCTGGGAACTGAAGGCTGCACCATGCCTGCAGATGAAGCTGCTGCCCTTCCGGCAGAAGAAGGCCCATATCATGGAGATCCAGCTGAACGGCGGCACAGTGGCTGAAAAAGTGGCCTGGGCACAGGCTCGGCTGGAGAAGCAGGTGCCAGTGCACAGTGTTTTCAGCCAGAGTGAGATCATCGATGTCATTGCTGTCACCAAAGGCCGGGGTGTCAAAGGTAGGGCCAAAAGGGGATGTTGTCTCCAGGAAAGGCTGCGTGGTAGGGACCATACTGGCTTCTCAGCCACCAGCCCTTCCTATCTGCAGGGGTCACAAGCCGCTGGCATACCAAGAAACTGCCTCGGAAGACCCACAAGGGGCTACGCAAGGTGGCCTGCATTGGTGCCTGGCACCCTGCCCGCGTGGGATGCTCCATTGCACGGGCTGGGCAGAAGGGCTACCACCACCGCACTGAGCTCAACAAGAAGGTATGTCCATGGCTTTGGGAGACCTCAGTGGGTGAGTGCGTGACCCAGACACTGCCTGCAAGGTTAAATCCCCATCTGGGTCTGAGCATGTGTGCTGATGGATGTGGACATGCCCCTGGTTCCAGAGCCTGCCTCTTGCCCTCTTCTCCTGGCAGATCTACCGTATTGGCAGAGGGCTGCACATGGAAGACGGAAAGCTGGTCAAGAACAATGCATCCACCAGCTACGATGTGACTGACAAGTCCATCACACCCCTGGTGAGGTGGGAGGCCAGGCTGGCCAAGGAGCATGTAGGGGGCAGTCAGGAGCTCAGGTTTGTGCCCCACAGTGGGATGCTGTTCCCACGGGCAGATGGGGGCACATGGCCCTGCCAGGTGGGCAGTAATGTGGGCCCAGTGGATTAGGGAGCAGCCATTTGGTGGCCCCCATCCCTGCAGTCTCCTTCATTCTCCAAGCCTCCTCTGAAGAGCTTGCACTCGGGCTGCTTCACAGGGACAAAGTGCAGCAGTGCTGCTGTGGACTGAAGCCGAGCCCAGCCTAGCCCAAGGGGCTGCAGCTAGAGCCTGCAGCAAGAGACTCCAACCTTCTGAGCTTCAGTTCTCCCCACAAAAATGCAGACCACTAAATGAGCTAAGACACAAAACAACTTAGCATGTGCCTCAGATGCTGCCCTGATTAGTGATCCAGGATGAGGATGTCACCCCCTCTCCTGGGGGCTGGGCATGGGGCTCTTTCCATCACAGCCCTGTGTGTAGGAATTCCAGGACTTCCAGCCACACCCACCTCCTAATACAGCACCCCTTCACTAGCCTGGCCTCTGACTTGCCTCCCCCACAGGGTGGTTTCCCCCACTATGGGGAAGTCAACAACGACTTTGTCATGCTGAAGGGTTGCATTGCTGGTACCAAGAAGCGGGTCATCACGCTGAGGAAGGTCAGCACAGCATGTGGACAGGCGGTCCTGTCCCCCATGGGCTGTCCCAGCTAGCCTGTTCCATCCTCCAGCCTGCTCAAAGTGGGGTAGGGGGGTGGGAGCTGAAAACAGGGGTCTGACAGGAGTAGAGGTGAGCAAGACCTTCCTGGTGTGCATTTAAGGTGAAGGGCGGGGATGGGAACCCTCTGGCCTTGACACCTCCTCTCCCACCCATTTCCAGTCCCTCCTCGTGCATCACAGCCGCAGGGCCCTGGAGAATATTGAGCTCAAGTTCATTGATACCACCTCTAAGTTTGGCCATGGCCGCTTTCAGACAGCCCAGGAGAAGAGGGCCTTCATGGTGAGCTCAGCCCTAATGTTCTCTGGGGGCTCAGACTCCATATTTCTCCTCCTCTGGGCCAGGGAAACTGGTGCAGAAGGAGCTGGCAGGGCATCTCCCTGCTTACCCACAGGAGGGCTCTTAGGGTCAGCAGGGCAGCCATTGGACGGTATCCCTGGACAGACTCCTGTGACTAACAATCCTCCTGTCCTCCTCAGGGCCCTCAGAAGAAGCATCTGGAAAAGGAAAAGCCAGAGACCTCGGGAGACTTATAAGCTACGTGGGCCTGAGATGCACACACCCCACCTGCCTGTTCTGTCCAATAAAGACCGGGGTCAACTCTTCCCAGTGTCTCAGAGAGTTGAGGGCGCGAGAAAGGCCGGAAGGGCCGGTCGGTGGCTCAGGGATGCGGGTCCGTGGTGCATCGCCATCCCACTCTGGAGCCTGGTCGCAGGAGTGTCCAAGATCCCCTTGAATCCCCAAGATCCCGTTGAAGCCGTGTGACTCCGTGGCCTTAGGGACGGGACGGGGCGGGCCTTTGCGCGGCAGAGGCGGGGCTTCTGGGAAGCGGTCGGGAGTGGTCGGTAGGAGACACCGATGGGCGAGGCCTGCTGGAAGACAGGATCCAGCCAGTCTTCGAGAAGGGGCGGGGCACCGGGAGGCGGGCCGGGCGAAATTCCGGTGCCCCTCTGATTGGTCCTTTTTAGGGGCGGGGCTGGGGCAGCTGCAGAGTGAATGGTCCTCCGGAAGGGGAGGCGGCGCGGGCTGGCTCCCTCGAGTCTGCTTTTTAGGCTGTCCCGGGCTGCAAGCTTCAGGCTGTCCCGGCGGTGCCATGTCGTTCTGCAGCTTCTTCGGGAACGAGGCTTTCCAGAACCACTTTGAGCCAGGTCCAGCCTGTCACCCCTGCCGGGAGGGAGTGGGGTGGAGGGCGTGCATAAGAAGGGGAGTCCCCTCACTCCGGGTGGCGGTGGAGTCCGAGTCCGGGAATGGGACGTGTGTGGCAGCTGATGAGAAGCGATCGAAGGCAAAGGGGGTCGAGGAGGAGGAACCCCGGAGGTCCTGGGAGTAGGAGGACCCCAGGGGAGAACTGGGGGAAGCCGTGGGTCCAGTTGTGTAGCGGGTGGTGAGGAGGCCGGGGTATACTGGTCTTCTGAACAGCGCGATGGAAAATCTATCTAGCCCAAAGGCAGTTCGGGTTCCCATTTCGGCTGGTGAGTGAGCAAGCACAGAATAAAAATGTGCCCGTCTGTGTCCTCCCCCACCTGCCCATGCCTTCCGGGTTGGGTATCCAGGGGTGCAGTTTTTGGCAGCTGTCAGTGAAATTTGGCAAGTGACTAAATGGATGCGGCAGTTTGGGGCATACCCCAACCTCAGTCCTGGCCCCAGGCCGTGAGAGGCCCTGGTAAGTTGTCATCTAGCTGGTTGAACTCCTGATAATGGACTAATTTGGTAAAAACACATCCACAGGAAAGACTAGGGCACAGGCCTCCCTGGTATGGGATCTGTTGAGTGTTAATCCTCTAGGGGACTGGCTTATGACACTGAGCATTATGGGACCAGCTGTGACACAGGACCATGAGGGCAAAGCTGTTCCTTGAGACCCTCTGGCTATGAGACCCCGCTTGTCCTATGCCAAGGGAAACTCCATTCCATAGCATCTTCTAGTTCTTTGCTTCCTGCTTGAGTTCCTGGTAAAGGCTGAATAATTCACAGACTTCAGGGGAGGCTGTCCCCAGATAGGTGGGGAGTGATTCAGTACCCATGGAGTTTCCTGTTTTGAGTTCTTCAAATAATCTGCAAGTCAGTTTTGCAAACTTCTCTGCCCCTGCCCTCTCCACCACAAAGTGATCTTTTGGGGATGGGTTGAAATCTGTTCTCTGGGCCCCTGTCTTTCTGGGTTCCCTGTCTGCTGGAGGCCTGTTCTCTGGGACTATCTTCTTCCTCCCTGGAGAGCAGGCCAGTGGGTGGGTGTCCAGTTCAAGGCTTTGTTGGGTAGTAGGATAGCTTCCTGAAATGGGAGTGGGGCCAGGTGGTCATGCTGACCACTCAGGGCCTCTCTCTGTGGGTTCTGCAGGGTGTGGTGAGGTGAGTGCTCTGTCCCTATCAGATTGCCTGGGCTTCTTCCTGGCCACATACCTCACTGGATGTCCACAGTGCCAAGCCTCAACTTCCTCATCCGTAAAATGGAAATGTTAAAAGATTCCAAATCATGCAGCCATTGAGATTTCTCTGCCTTTACTTTCTCCACACTCCAGGCATCTATGTGTGTGCCAAGTGTGGCTATGAGCTCTTCTCCAGCCATGCGAAGTACGCACACTCATCCCCATGGCCAGCATTCACTGAGACCATCCACGCTGACAGTGTGGCCAAGCGTGCGGAGCACAATCGACCTCAGGCCTTGAAGGTGGGTGACAGTGACCAGAGTTGGGGGCTTATTCAGGGAGAGCTAGAGAACCAGTCACGTCTTCCTTCCTTGCTTCCCCCACAACTCTTGGGAATTCCAGGGTGACTATTTGAGGCTTCTAGCCTCAGCAAGGGGACTGCCACTGCATACCTGGGGAAAGCCTAGTGTCCTGGTGGAATGCGGGCATCAGGGCAGTTTCCCTACCTAGGCCCCCAGGACGAAGGTCAGCCTTCCACAGTAGGACTGGCTTGCACCAGGGCTGTCTGATGGGCCAGAACTGACATGGCTACCTTGTGGGCTTCCCAGGTGTCCTGTGGCAGATGTGGCAATGGTCTGGGCCATGAATTCCTGAACGATGGCCCCAAGCCTGGGCAATCCCGATTCTGAATATTTAGCAGCTCGCTGAAGTTCATCCCTAAAGGTAAGCTGACCTTCTGCAGCTGGAGGACAACTACACACACTGCGGAGGTCTGGGGCAAGGGAGGACACATCTGTGCTTATTCACTTTCTTTCTTTTCTTCTTTCTTTATTTTTTTTTAAAGAGAGAGAGAGAGAAATTTTTAAAATATTTATCTTTTAGTTTTTTGGTGGACACAACATCTTTATTTTATTTTTATGTTGTGCTGAGGATCGAATCCAGCACCCCACGCATGCCAGGCGAGCACATTATCACTTGAGCTACATCCCCAGCCCCTGCTTGTTCACTTTCTATGGCAAAGTATCAGGGGCACCAAATCACACTGCCCACAACCTTCCCAGGGTCACCCCAAAAAGTGGCTGCAAATTTTAGCTCCCTCTGTGTGATCCAGAGGGGGCATCTGTGGGAGGGTATGACAAAGGGTTTTCTCTGGAGTCCTGGCCCTTCTTATAGCTACAGTCAGTAGTTGGGGCCAGCAAAGCTGAGGACCTGGGTCATGTGCTGTGTGTCCCTGTGGTCGTGATCTCAGGCTTGCTTCTCAGCCTCTAAGTTTGCCTCCTCCTCTGTTTAGTGCCTGTGATGGCAGAGCCTCTTCCCAGGGCCGATAAGAACGGCTGCATGGGATGCAGAACCCTCGGGCCTGGTACATGGTGCGGTTCAGGACACCTGTGCCACTGCTGGTGGTGTTCTTGGCTGTGCATTCTGCCAGCTCGGCTTCCTCTGTCTGCGGCTCACCTGCTCACAGGGAACCTTGTGCCTCAGCAGTCTGTCTGCAGATGCAACTGCCTGTCTCCTCCCCGCACTTTAGTTCTTATCTCAGTGTTCCCTGGCTGTCACCAGGACCTCAGCCATTCCCTTCATCTCTGTTTCATACCCTGTGGAATTGGGCTGTTGTCTTTAGCACATGCCACACCACAAGCACAGTGGGGTAAAATGAGCATCCTCTGAGGGCCTGGTGCATGATTAGCCTGAGTGGTGTTTCTGTCCTTTCATCATCTTTGTCCCCTGTCAAACAGACTCTCAGGGCCCAGGCCTCTGGTGTCTGAGGCACAGTTTCACAGTGGCTTTCCATCCTCTCCTTTCTTTCAGGCAAAGAAAGTGCTGCCTCCGAGGGGCACTAGGCGAGCTGCCACACCTACCCAGATGTATGTGCGCCATGGGCACACTCTGGCATCCCACCTTGGCATTGGAATCCTGGAAATTCAACAGGGAGGTAGTGGCAGTGACTGAGACACCAGGAAGGCAGCCACGGCCTGAGTTCTGGGCTGGACAGCCTTGGGCAAAGCACTTGTCTGCAATAGTCCAGTCTTCTGCCAGAATGGGCCTTGGGGGTCGGGGCTGAGCTGCTGGCTGTCTTGGCCTCCAGCTCACAGTCTCTGGGCTTATCTTGTCTTTGAATGTCATTGTACCCCCCACCTTCTCTTCTTCTTGACCTTCTGCCCATTCCCTGGCTGTCTGGACCCATGTCTGTGGAGCCCTGGTCCTCACATAAGCTGTGCCCCTCTTCCCCAAGCTGTACTGGGAGGAAGAATGCAAACAAGGGCTGCCCTGGCCTGCAGCTCCAGCCCTGGTGACTCTATGATCTGCTCTGGTAAAAGCCTTCTAAGCCATCCAGGGTGGTGATGATTTGTGACCCACTAGGAGCGCAGGCTGATGTGACAGACTCTTGACTCTTCATCTCCTGATGAGATGCCTGGACCCTGTTTCCCAATCTGTGGTAGAGCTTGCTTCACTGGTTCTTGGGAAAGGGGCTGCTGTTGCACTGCTTCACCAGTGTAGCTGGGGCCCTGGGGTCAGTCCTTCCAGTTCAGACCCAAATGCGGTCACCTTACTGTATGAGTTCAAAAGCTCTTGCCATCTAAGAGGGCAGATGATTCTTAAGCCCACCTCCTTATCTTCCTGGAGTAATCAGGAAGAAATCAATAAATAAATGACACCTGCCCTGCTGTCTCTTTTTTTGTTTTCCTTCAGCGCTGGGGTTTAAACCCAGGGCTTTGCTCTACCACTGAGTTACATCCCCAGCCCACTGCTTTCGGTAACCACATCAAGGATGCATGCACTTGGATGTCAGGCCTTTGCACAGTTTTTTTTTTTTTTTTCATTTATTCCACAAATACTTAGTGCTTGGTGCTGGAGATGCAGCTGTGAGCAGGAGAAAACGGGGCCCTGCCCTCAAGGTCTCATGGGAAACCCAGGAGACAGATAGTAGTAAATTAATTGGCAGGTGCTCATGCGGGCAAGAAAAGCAGAGTAATGGGGCTAGAATGTGTGAAGGGGGCAACTAGGAGACTGCCTGCCCCTTTGCCCAGTGGTCAGGGAGAAGGACTGTGAGGGGAGGGTCATCTCAGCCAGCAGTGGCAGGTGAGAGAATCAAAGGGAGTTGCTTCCTGGGCAGTGAGCACAGCACATACAAAGGCCCTGAGACATGTCCCAGGCTGAGGTACAAAATGCCCCCATGAGAGAGATGATATGCTCCATAAGAACTACATGGCTTTTCCAACTCATATTGTCAGGTGCCTGGGGTAATATGTGGGAATGGGTCGCTCTTCTCTGGGTCAGGTATTATGCCTAAGTTTCCAGACTGGGAAAGCTCAAGTGCAATGGCAGTCATTGGAACTGAGTAATGCCCCTCTGTCAATCAATCTCTAGGCTGGGGCCAGTTTATAGATGCAGAACCTCTCAGTTGAAGGGGAGCCTAGGTCCCTTTGAGGAAGGACCCCCCAAAATTTATCCTGTTAATCTTTCTCTCAGCCTTCTCTAAGAGGATCCACAACTTTTTGTCTATGCACTTTGGAAAAGAAAGTATTCAGACCTTTTGAGAACCACTGAATACTGATGCTAATTCTGAGCTGATGTGAATTCTAGGAGGCCCCAATGTCACTGCCAGTGTAGGGGCTCAGGAGGTTGGGTGATCAGTGGAGTGTAAGCTGTGGTCTTTCTTACAGTGGGCTATCTGTGGTTATTTCTCTAGTTCTGGAATGTATGATTGGAATAGACATAATCAGTAGAGGGCACACGCCCCCCCCCCCAGCAGGGGAAGGGGCAGAACCAGCAGGTGCACACAGGTAGAAGAGGGAGAAGCCAGCCTACATTACTCACCTGTTCCACCTACTCAGCCCAGCCCGGGGGACAGGACTCTGCTCCCTGAAGTCTCCTCTGTGTCCCAGGCCAGGGCTGTTTGCCCTAATGTGGAGTCAGTGTGTCATGCTAGGTAGCCAGGACCTGTCCCCTGGGGATACGTGGCTCTCCTCTCTCCTTCACCCCATGTGAGAAATAGTGGCTCTAGGAAGGCTGTGACCGCCTGTTGTGCACAGCCTGAGGGCAGCAGGCATGTTGAAGGAGACTCCCGCAGGGATGGAGGCAGTGGGCTGAGTGGTTGGCAGGAATGCCCAGACCCCAGGGCCAGTGTGGATCTTGGGTTGTGCTCACTTTCCCCAGTACCCTCAGCTCTGCATTCTGGTGCATCATGTCCCTGAGACTGGACTTGGGCCCAAGAGCAGGTGAGTGTCCTCCTATAAGTTGGGTCAGTGAGTCCAGGCTGAGCTCCTAGGACTGTTTCCTTCTGCTCAGACTGGTGGCACACAGGCCTGTCAGCTGGGGATGGAGAGCCGAGGTGGGAGTTGCCTGCACCCCATGTGCCCCATGCTCATTTGCATAGCTATGTTAAGGGGGTTAGGGAGCAGGGAGATTGGACTGGGGAGGCCCAGTGCGGGTCGGCAAGTAAGATCCTTGGAAGGGAGGAGACACAAGAGTGAACCTGAGGACACCCGGACCCAGGACAGGGTTGACCATGGGCAGAGTGTGTCTGTAGAGTGGCTGGGCGAGGGAAGACAGCCTTTCTAGTTCTAGCATCCTGCAGGAATCATGAGTCACCCTTATACTGTCCCCCTCCTCTTCCTGGGTTGCACCACAACCTCTAGTCACCACAGTTCTGGAGAGACAAGAGCACAGGGCCCTCTTCCCCCACCTCTGCCCCTTCCTTGCCAGGCAGAGCCTGGAGGAACAGCCTTAGAGTCAGGGTGGGTGCTCTGCCAGCCACAGCAACTGCAGCCCGCAGGCCTGGGCCAGGTGGGTGAGTAGCCTGGGAGGGACAGTGGGAGCTGACCGGAGGAGGGCCCAGGCCGGCTCAGATGAGCATCAGTAGACATTTGCACAATGAGTGAGTGAAGTGATAGTGCTTAGGACTTTTGGACACCTCAGGTTTTCCTTCCCCGCCAAATGAGTGGGGTGTGGCCTGGGGCTGGTGGAAGGAAGCAGGAACCTCCTAACCATGGAGGGGGAGGGAAGGTAAGAAGAGGAACCCGGAAGTGTTTGCGAAAGTCACCGCCAAACAGATAGGGCCATCATATCCCCCACTACCATCCAGCACAGGTCTACAGCCTACCGGCAGGGGGCGCGCTCGTTCCGTACGGCCCGTGAACTGGGCCTGAGCGCACAGGCGCTGGAGCTGGAGCGGGTTGCAGTTCTCTCCAGCGCCGCTGGGGGCGCCGCAGGATGGCTCCGATCAGGGAGCCATCATCAATCGGGGATTGCAGCGTCCAGCCCCAGCCAGGGACCCAGCGGCTGAGTGCCCAGAGCACCCAGTGGTCGCTGCGCAAGTGTCTCGGCCCCTCGTCCACGCCCGCCCAATATGGCAGTGCCAGGGACGCAGGCCGAGACCTGTGCGTCTGAGGCTGGGCATCATCCAAGTGGCCCCACATCAGGCCACCGGGGCTCTATAGCCAGGTATGTCCCACTGTGCCCTTGGGATGATCCCCATGTACTGAAAGGCTACTGTGAACATGTCCACAAGGAGCAAGAAGCCTGGAGGCAGGCTCAGGAGCCCATGCTCTGAAGAGGACCCAGGAGCAGGTGTGCCTGAGTGTGTCTGTTCAAGTGCAGGTGGGCACAGGTAGGTGCAGGTGGGCACAGGTGGAAAGCCTTGCAGCCAGGCCCCAGTCACCTTCCCCGAGAGTGGAAAGCCCAGCACTGATTTGCACCACATGCCAATGTCAGGGCTAGTGAGCCCATTCTGAAGGTCAAGCCCAGTCTGGCCAAGGACAGGACCCTTAGGGAGTGCCCCACTCCATCCTCAATCTCCTGGGGAAGTACCTTCATGCCAACAGTCAGTCAAACAGGCATTGGGCCAATCATGTTCAGCTCTGTGCTTAGGAAGAACCCAGACCAACCCCCACTACTTCCTGGCTCCTTCAAACTTGACCGTCACCCCCTTCTGAGAGAATGGTAGTACACACATGTGCTACACTGTCTTCTCTCTAACCCGGTGGTCCTACCCTCTCTAACTCTTCCCCAGGCACACAGGGGCTCCATGGGCCCAAGTTCCAAGGTCCCACAAAGAACCCTTGGACTAAGAGATTAGAAAGCCTCTGGACCCTGAGGTGGGGGAGCCCAGGGCCAACAGGCTGAGGCCACAGGGCCCTGGCACCCACTGGCTCTGTTCCTCTCTCCTCCCAGTGTCATCTGCCCCTCTTCTGCAAAGTGCCACCAAGCCCTTTGAAACCAAGACTCACAAATATTCTGGTTGGAGATGAAACATCATAAGATCAAAGCCAGGGTTTGAACCATGGACATCTCCCTAGTTTTACAAGGACACAGACTCTGGGGGTTTGAGGGCTTATGTGCAGGTAACCCTCAGTACCCTCCCCTTTAGGCTCTCCACTGGTCACTCTTGGGGCCCGAAAGCTACATTAACCAGAGCCCTAGTACCCAGGGCCAGGGTAGGGGGGCTTCTAATCAGCACCCTAGAGCCCTCACCATGCCTGCCGTTCCCACTGCCTGCCCATCCCCTATATCTCAGCTGTCCCGTTCAGGCTGACTCAGGAAGGGGCACCCAGGCCTGGACGGCATAGGTCACTCCTAAAAGTCCAGCAGGGGGTCCCCACTTGACTTTCAGAATGGGCTCACTGGCCCTGACATTGGCATGTGGTGCAAGTCAGTGCTGGGGCTTTCCACCCTGGGGGAAGGTGACTGGGGCCTGGCTGCAAGGCTTTCCACCTGTGTCTACCTGTGCCCACCTGTTCCCACCTGCACTTACACAGACACACACAGGCATACCTGCTCCTGGGTCCTCTTCAGAGCATGGGCTCCTGAGCCTGCCTCCAGGCCTCTTGCTCCTGACATGTTCACAGTCATCTTTCAGTACATGAGGATCATCCCCAGAGCACAGCAGGACAGACCTGGCTATAGACCCCCGGTGGCCTGATATAGGACCACTTGTCAAGTGCTTTACCACTGAGCTACAGCCCCAGCCCATCCCCCTTCATAGTGCTGAAGGGCATACATGTCCAGAGGTCTGGCTTGGGGCTATGAAACTGGAGGAGGTGGGGATTGGGGGACAGGGAGAGCCCTATCTCCATGGGACCCTCCTCTCATCCCCCTTGGGAACAAAGGCTGTTGCCAGCCTCCCCTCCTTAAGGTGGGACTGCCAACCTGTAAGAAGGATGGCTATGGGCTGGGGCTGTAGCTCAGTGGTAGAGCACTTGCCTAGCATGTGTGAGGCACTAGGTTCCATCCTTAGCACCACATATAATAAATAAAGTGAAGGCATTGTGTTCATATACAATTAAAAAAAGTGTTTTTTTAAAGATGGCTACATTATTATAAATTGAGCTGGGCCAGGCTGGTGGGTACACAGCTATGAATTGTGGGCACCTGTTCCCTGCCCTAGAGACGCAGGGACCAGTAGCAAATGGCCCTCGATCTGTGATGCTTCCTCCAGGAAGACCCAGGGAAATCAGGGAGGATGGCTGGAAGCTGGCTGGAGCCAACCCTCTGAAGGAGTGGGGTCTGGTTCCTTCTGGCAAACCCTACAGCTATGGGTGGACTTCCTGTAGGCATGACCACCGGCCGTGACTACTGAGATGGGGACCCCTCACTTCTCTCTACTCCTGCCCAAAGGACTTTTTTCCATATCTCCGTCTGACACTGGGAATCATGACACTGGCAT